GCCTCAGAATTATTGCTCATGATAAGCGTTAGGCTCACTGTGTGGCTATTTTTCTCATAGAAATGTTTATACATATATACATATATACAATATAAAATGCATAATACTATATTATTTTACGTACAAACATGCCCATTCATTTTTAAGATGTGATATTTTTTAAAAATTAATGTAGTGCGTATTGAGCATCTTTTAGAAAATGGAAATGTGCAGCATAGATAAATGCTATTCATTATTATTATTTCAAAATAAACTACATTGTATTTTATCTGTATACTGCTATTATTATTTTTGTTATCCGATGTGCACTATATTTTTGGCGATTAATAACGTTCCACGTCGTCTTTGCTCTTGTGCACCTTCACAAAGCGGCCGCCATTATGAATCTCAGATGTTTACTTCATACAATTTGATTTGTTTCATCGGTAAAACTTGAACGAAACCTGGATTTATCATTCCAAACGGACAGTTTATACACCAGTGTTGATTTAACATCAGAGTGATAAGTAGATCAATGACGTTTTGAATTTTCAAAATACTTGACTATCTAAATCTAGATCTATTCTAAGCTTACCAGCCGGCCTGGCCCTGGTTTGCTGTGTGATACACACAAGACCAAGTATGAAATAAACATGTAGATCTAGATCTAGAGAATCTAGTAAATTTTACAGAGTCTGGTATAAATCTATTCTACCCTTAATGCCAATGGCTGCGAAGGAAGACATTTCTAAGATACTCCATCAGTTATCTAGTTTTCAATTACAATTTGATAAAATCAATGAACGCATTGATAACCTTGAGAAAAAAGAAAGTAAATCTCCTGCTCAAGATGTGAACGCGGATCTAGCGAATGACACATCAGACCACGACAGGTCGAATAGCGATCCCACTACTACTACCAGTCCCAGTGTGACGACTTCTTCGTCTACTGCAGCTGATATTCAGAGAGATTTCGAACGAATCAAAGAAACTCTTCAACGTACTCCTGTTCCTGATAATTACAAAGTGAGAGATAGCGCAGTGGGAATAAAGCAGGACTGTAAACAATCATTGAAAATATTGTCAAAATGTGCCAGATACTCAGAAGCTGCCATTAAAATCCTACATCAGATTCCGGTCACTAGATCTAGCAATGGCCCAAATGTTTCAGAAGGTGCATTGAATTGCTTATTTACGTGTGTGGCAGCCCAAATAAATTTTCTTCAACAAGAATAATATACAGATTTGGTGGTCACATCGACTTTAGATCAGGAAACGGCTAGAATCTTCAGACAATTTGAAAATAATTCATCAACATTTTCGGACAGTACATTACAAAACATTGGAGTCGCGGCAGAGTCGTCAACTTTGTCTGTTCGGCCATCACCATCACATCCCACACAGGGTAACCCAACTCACAGAGGAGGCAGGTCAACGGGCCGTGGATTCTATCCAGATTACCGTGGGAATGGTGTCAACACGCGTAGTGATTTCGCCGTGCAGAACCTTTAATTCCAGGCGTCCGATTGGCAGACCAGACTACGATACTCATGGAGCTGACTAATGACAATTGAGGTCAATACCTACGTCATCGAAAAACAATGTGTAGTGTGTGGAGAGATATTTTATCAATGTTCAGAGCAAATACACTTCGAGACAATATTAGTTACTGAGAGACAATTTCAGATAATACTGCAGTGTTAAAGTGGATACGTGAAGGTGTGACCTTGCCATTTTCTACTAAACCAAACAGTTTTTACTTTAATAATAGAAAATTCACAGCCTTAGAGGCAGAGTTCATTGACAAAGAAGTTAGTCGTTTGTTAAAATCGGGTTGTATTGTGCAGTGTCCAAACAGTAATCCGGATTTTGTATCACCAATAAACGTAGTTCCAAAGAAAAAAGGTTTTAGATTAGTAACTGATCTGAGACATCTGAATAAACATATATCACCACCGTCATTTGTATATGAATCAATTGAAGATGTAATAAAAATAACCAATGTTAATGAACATATGGTCACAAGGGATCTGGAACAGGGTTTTCATCATATTCCAATACACCCAGAGTATTCTGACTATCTGTGTTTTAAATGGAAAAATGCGTTTTATAAATGGATGGTGACGCCCTTTGGGGGTAATTTTAGCCCGTATTATTTTTGCAAAACTGTTCGTGAGGTGGTGAAACATTTGTGACAAAATGACTTGAAGACTGTGTCTTATGTAGACGATTTTTATTTGTGTGATGATGCCTCTCTTATTGAGGGCAAAATTGAGTATGCGATACAGGAGTTGGGCAAACTTGGCTGGCACATTAATTTGGAAAAGTCTTGTTTTACCCCGAAGACTGAATGTAAGTTCATCGGATTTTTGGTACAGACTGGGGTAGGTGACAAAGCAGTTGGGTTAAAAGTTCCTAAAAATAGAATTGACAAGGTAAACAAAGACATTAAAAGAATATTTAAAAAGGGCCAAGCAACGGCCAGAGCATTGGCGAGAATCGCCGGACAAATTGTGTCCATGACCAAAGCAGTCACGCCTGCCAAGCTCCTGCTTCGCAATCTGTATCGATGTTTAAGGTCAAGGACCTCTTGGCAGGATCTGTTGGCACTGGACATGGAAACTATTAAAGACTTACGTTGGTGGTTAAAAGCCTTTGAGGCATGGAATGGTAAAGCATTTAGACACCAAAACATTTCAATTGAAATAGCCACTGATGCCTCGGCAGAAGGATGGGGAGCCACTATGTTTCCAAGCGGTTTGAAGGCCCAAGGCTATTGGACGATAGAACAGTCTTACAAAAGTTCCAATTTTCGGGAAACACTAGCTGTGCTATTAGGTCTTTTGGCCTTCCTGTCACAAGTAAAGGGCAAATCAGTGACTATTCTAAGCGACAATGTGTCGGCGGTCTGTTATATCAATATGCAAGGGGGCCCTGCAATGGAATTGTCACGAATTGCGAGGGAAATGTGGTCATTAGCACTCAAATACAACATACAGTTAAAAGCTCAACATCTGAAAGGTGTGCTCAACGTACAGGCCGATACGTTGAGTCGACTAAGTTCCCAGTACGAATGGTGTCTACATCAGAAAGTTTACGACTATTTGAATGTACTGTGGGGGCCTCACACCATAGACAGGTTTGCCACTATGGCGACAACCAAATGCATAAAGTACAACAGTCGGTTTCTAGATCCAGCCTCAATGGGAGTAGATGCGCTGCTCCAGGGGGACTGGGGACTGGAAAACAATTATGTGAATCCACCAATAAGACTTCTAGATCAGGTGCTGGATATTATGTGCCGGCAACAGGCAACAGCAACAGTTATTGCTCCGGAATGGAAGGCCCAGTAGTTTTACCAAAGATTAAAACAATTATCAGTGGCTCCACCAAAAAAACCCAAACTGTTTTGCACTCAAATGGGAATGCAAACTCCAGAACCATTGAAGAATCACAAGTGGACGTGGTTCGCCTGGAGGATATCTGGGAAAGAAAATTGTTAGCTGAAGGTTGGCCTCTGGCTTGCATTGAAAAATATCCAAACTTCTTGGCTTCTTCAACACTGAGGCAGTATAATGCATGTTTAAAAAAGTTTCATAGCTTTGGCATTATCAATGATTAGCTTTCCCCCCTAAAACTGACAACGTGTTAGCTGTTATTCTTAACTTTTTAAATCATGAGGCTGAAAAATCAGAGAGACATGAATCGTTACTAAAATCTTTGTCTTCCGCTCTGAAACAATGGTTGAAGGCTCATGATTTACAAGTGCATCATGAATTGTTAGACAATTGTGTAACATCTTTGATAAGAATAAACACCATACGTCCGAAAGGGCGCACCAAAATACTAGCGATTCAATTGTTTATGTCTATGTTTAGGAATTGGGGTCACAACGATCTTTTGACACTTCGACAACTTATACAGAAAGCAATTACACTACTTGCTTTCGCAGCGATGTGTCGCCCATCGGATATCGCCCCAACAATCGGTTTTAAACGAAAACAACTTCTGTTTAAGGAAGACGGGTCTACGGTGATCCAATTTTTTGCTACCAAAACGGACTCGAATCGTACAGGACATGAAGTCCTCATTAAACGAGGTATATAAGAAATTATTGACCCAGTTAAAGCAAGGAAAGACTATTTGTCTCGCACGCAACCATTGGTTGGTGCAGACGGGGATTCCCCAGTTTTTCTTTCGTTACATGCCCCTTATTCTGCCATCTCGGCAGCTGCAGTTGCTGACACATTAAACAAGTGCATAAAAGAGGCGGGGCTTAGTGACTCTGGGTTCACAGCTCGTTCATTTAGACCTACTGGGGCTACAGCTTATGTTGCCTCAGGCGTGGAACACCACATTACCAGAGAACTTTAGGTCGCTGGAAATCTGAAGAGTGTTTCAATGAGCGCTACGTATACCCACTGTCTGCGGTGTCAGCAACAGATAAGATGTTAAACGTTTCTTTGCCTATGTAATGTAGGCCTAATCATAATGTAAAGTCGACTTAGATTTAACACAGTTTTGTGTCTTGTTTGATTTGGTTTTGGTTATTTTGTTTTGTTTCAATGTATATGTTTTTGAAATTTTGTCAGTTGGCCGACATCATTGGAGTTTGGGTGTTTTGGTAATAATCGGGGAATGTTTTATTTGGATTCTCATAGTATGCACCTAGGCTCTCCAGTAAGGCAACATTGTTCATTTTGATTTTTGATTAAAATAAAAATAAACAAATGTTTGTGCAGATCGGAGTGACTGTAGTTATTTATGATTTTTGTTACCCGATGTGCACTATATTTTTGGCCGAACGTTATATATTAATAACGTTCCACGTCGTCTTTGCTATTGTGCAGTATTATAATATGTTTGAATTTGATTGATTATCATGTATTGATAGAATATTATGTATCCAAATATGGCGGTCGTTGATGTGGAGATGCCTTGCAAGGATAAGGCAACATTGTTCATTTTGATTTTTGATGAAAATAAAAATAAACAAATGTTTGTGCACATCGGAGTGACTGTAGTTATTTATGATGATGATGATGATGATGATGATGATGATGATGATGATGATGATGATGATGATGATGATGATGATGATGATGATGATTATTATTATTATTATTATTATTATTATTATTATTATTATTAATATTATTATTATTATAATATATAATTTTATATCATTATTATTATGAATATTATTTCCATTATTAATATTATTACTATTATCATCATTATCATTATCATAATTATCATTTATTATTACTATTATTATTATTATTATTATTATTATTATTATTATTATTATTATTATTATTATTAATATTA